GGCGACTTAAGTCTGACTCGAGTCCCCCATCTCTGCTACAGGCACGTTGTTCGACGACCGTTCCTTGGCAATGGTGTTTAGAGTGACCAAATATAAAGCCGATCTATTCCCTATGAGGAGTTTGTTACCAAGTATAAGGCCTGGATGTTGCTTTATTTTCTGTTTCTGATGAGCAGTTTGCACCTTGCATGGCAGCAAGGTGTAAAGTGTAAAGCGGTGTAAAGCGCTTTGAGTGGTTGGAACACTAAAGGCTGCTATGTAAGTGCAGTCCATTTACAATTTACCATTACGTGATTCAAAAATCTTTCTTATCCCCTCCAGGTTCAGGGCTTGTCAGATGAGCTGGCCAAACAGTTATGGATGGTACTGCAGAGGTCCATGGTAACGGTTCGTCGCGACCCCACCATGCTGGTGTCAGTGATTCGCATCATTGAGCGGGAGGAGAAGATTGATCGACGTATGGTCGACCGTAAGAAACAGACTGGGTTTATCCCACCTGGGCGACCCAAGCGGTGGAAGGACAAGATGTTTGAGGTAAGAGCAGTGATGTAGGATCACAGAAATACTTTTATACTTAAAGTTATAAAGAATAACTTGCCCCAGTGTTGTCTACCATCTCGCCCCTGGATCCATCTCCTCTTTCTCCCCTTCTCTGACCCTTCGTCTTCCTCTGACTGATCCTATTCTTCTTCTTTTGATTCTTCTTCCTTATCTGACCCTTCTTCCCTTTTTATTTTCCAAACCTTCTTCCTTTTCACTGACTCTTCTTGAGATTTTTCCTGCTATCCCACCCGTATTGACTGTTTTTGCTTGTATTTTTGTCTTATGTCGTTCATCTGCCTTCCTTCCTCTGCATAAAACATAACTACATTTTACACAGCAGTCAAATCTAGTCTCAAATGATCTTTACCCAATTAATGAGGTCTACCTTCGACTCTCAGTTATGAGCCCACAGTGGAACATGACTGTCAGGGTTCCCATCTGCCCTGGAAAATCTGGAAAGTCTGGAAATTTTGAGATTTATTTTCCATTCATAGAAAATCCTGGAAATTAACTGTGTTGTCCTGTCCCTACAATACAATTTTTAAATTAAATTAAAATTAGTAGCCCCTCAGGCCGCAGCGGAAAGTGCTTTGAAAGTGAGCTAATGCAGAGTGCCCCATAAATGCTGACCACCATTATGAGCAAGTCCTGTATTATCAAGAAAAAACCCTGTTAAATGTCCTAAAAAAAAGTCCTTTTAAAATTATTTCTTACAAATGGTGGTAACCGTGAGCTGTGTTGTTCCAACATGTTATGTGCTAACCAGGAGGCTTTGCGGATTGTATTTCACAATGCTATTGTATTTTAAATGCTGAAATGTAATTACATTTTGTGACAGCATGGAACATTATATAATTAATGGCTAGATTTCATTTGTTGTGGAATAGACTAGAGTTGGCCAATATGTTTTTTTTTTTTTTTCTAACCTGCCACTGTCAGCCCAAAAACTGTCCCCACCATGTCTGTGTCGTGCCCTGAGTCAGAGTCCTGGTTGTAGCCGCTGTAAATCATCTTTGTACTGTATTCCCTATCGTATGGTCAGAATCTGTCTCTACTGCTGTTTTTCCTCTCACTCATTTGTCGGCTCAGTGTGTACTGTGCCACCTAACGTCTGTTGCTGGGCAATGGCTGTCGTTCTTCAGAGGCAGACAAAATAATTAGCTAAATAAAATGACAAAAATCCCCACCAAAAAAACAACTGGCAATGGGCGTTTGGATGGTGGTGTCTAAGTTTTAGTTGCCTTTACCTCAGTTAGAGGTTGTGTTTTGGACAACTGTACAGACTCAACCATTAAAGCGATTCGCTTGTCTTGAAGTATGTGATTTGTTTCTGTTGCAGGTGTTGGAGGGTACAGTCAGCACCCGCATTGAGGGCACCCAGTCTGTGACTAGAGAGGCTGATAAAATGTGGCTGGTTCGTCTTCTAGAAATAACCAGGAAATATGTTCTGGATGACCTCATCGTTGTCAAGAACCTCATGGTGCAGTGCTTCCCTCCACACTACAACACTTTCAACAGGTAACAAATACTAAATGAATCAGTCTGGTTTTCTGTCAGCAAAGAGCAGGTCCAAAACCCAAGATTACTGAACACATCACATACAGAATAGATAGATAGATAAGACCTTTATTGATCCCCCGTAGGAGAAATTCAAGTTAGACACAGCAGCATAGGGGAATGTAGTGCAAAGAGTACAGAGTGTACAAGTACAATAAGAATCACAATATAAGAATATTAACTAAATCTAATAGAAGATATACGACTAAAAGTGACAAATATATATATACTATATGCAATTTAGAGTGGAGTCTGATGACTGATGGTACAAGCGAGCCTCCAA